CTAGTGTGCGAAATAAATACTTGAAAAAATCGTATACATGCAGGCTAGTGAAGCCATAGCCAGCTCTCCTGTAATGCAAATGTCAATCTGTGGACGGGTTTCGATGTGGTCCGACACCAGCTACAGCTTAGGCATATCGACACCAAAATCTGTGGGGGTCAAAAAAATTCGTGGACAAACGGGGACACGCACATCCAAATCAATACTTTCATAGAAAACCATGGTTAAACTGCCAATGCGCATAACTTTTTCGTTTTTGGACCAATCGGAGCGCTTGGACCGGCGTTGGAAAGTTGGCGAGGAGGAGCTTCTCTTGGACACCTCAGACCACCCCCTGGGTACCCCCTTCGTAAGATATGGGTATAGATTTGAAATTTTATCGAAATTTTCCAACCGCTATATTTTTGCCTAGACCACACTTTAGGCATGGATGATATGGTGTTTCCGACTATTTGGGCCAAGACCTTTCCAACGGTACCTAACATGCCGGGGCCCAAATAGTGCCACAGAGAAAATAGCATACTTACTGTATATATACTCGTGACGCAAAAACTGGCATTTTTGATATTTGGCTTGAAATGCACAGTTGTTGGAGCGTCACTTGTCGGACTATCGTCCTCCGTGAAATGAGTAGTTTGGAGTAAAAATGTAATAAAAAAAGTTGATCGGAAAAATGTCGATGATGAATGAGCGGAAAAGAGATACAGTAAACTATATAGTAAACTGTATACAGTATTTCAATTTTGGGAATTTTTTTTCGGGAATTTCGTTTTAAATTACATTAGGTTTAATTTTTTACTATATATAGTAAACTATATAGCTATCTCTTCTCATTTGACATTTTTCCGCTTAACTTTTCTGTATTACATTTTCGTTTTTCATTGAAGGACTGAACGAAATATTTCTGTTGCAGCCAACATCGTAAAAGGTCTCATTGAACTTGGCACTGATATAAATCCGCAGAACGAGGATGGTCAAACCCCACTTCATATAGCCGTCCTAGGTCTGCAATACGTTTTGATTAGTATTTTTTTTATTTGTTAAAAATATGTTTGAACTACCACTCAAAAGTCTATAGGGAGTGCTAATAGAGTGTCTATGTTTTTCAGCCAAATCAGATTCGGCCAAACTTTTCGTTGAAAACGGTGCAAATGTTAATGCAAAAGACAATTGGGGAAATACTCCACTTGGGTGGGCTGTATTTCTAGGTAATTTTCAACATTTACTTTCCTCACTCGTGTGACAAATATTCATCTGAAATCATAAAAAGTTGATTGAAATTTAAAAAAACTTTCCATTCAGAAACAGAAATCAAATGACTATTATTAACACGAATGAAAAACGATTTTAAAAAATATGAAATTTTGACCAGTTTTCGAGGTTGATTGAAAACTTCTGAACTTCCAAACAGATGACGAAAATATCACAGAAATCATTATAAGGAATGGTGTCGCTGATGTAAACGCGTCTTTTAACAATGAAACAACACCACTGTTAATGGCAGTTATGTTCGGTAACTCTTTAGATTTCCACTACGAAACCAAAAGCAATTTATCCAATTTTGATACGATGCAGGCAAAGTGAATATTGTTAAAATACTCGTCAAAAATGGCGCTGATTTGAATGCCGAATTCATGGGAATGACAGCACTTCATCATGCGGCTTACAAGAAAAGTAACTTATAAATACAAATCGAAAATCTATCGAATTTTAACGATGGTTTAGAAATCCAAATGAATTTTCGAAATTCACTGAATACCATCTTGTGTTCAACTCAGGTGCGGATTACGTTAAAGTGTTGGTTAGTAACGGTGCCCAGGTCAATGCTCAAATTTCAGATGGGAGGAATGCTCTTCATTTAGCAGCCTTTTCCAGTGAGTAAGAATTAGATTTAAGAAAGTGCACTTTTCATATGTGAAATCTAGGGGAATATCACGCTCCTTGATTTCACGGCAAAATTCCCGAAAAAAAATTCCCGATCCACAAAATTCCCAAAACAAAATTCCCGAAAAAAAATTCCCAAAAAAAAATTCCCGAAAAAAAATTCCCGAAACGAAATTCCCGAAAACAAAATTCCCGAAAAAAATTCCCAAAAAAAATTCCCGAAACGAAATTCCCGAAAAAAAATTCCCGAAGACAAAATTCCCAAAATAAAATTCCCGAAGACAAAATTCCCGAAGACCAACAAATGATGGCGACCGGGGCATAAACAACGCTACGGCTTCGCATCGCTGTCGCAAACTGGTGCTAGCACATGTACTACACACACTGAATGGAAACTTTTCCACTCTGGTTTTGACGAATTTGACATTGATTTTGACATTATGTGTGAGTGTACAGGTGCTAAAACCACAACAATTTTGTCCGGTTACCACGCTCCTTAATCTTGTGAGATATTTGGGATATTTGAAATAAACATCAATTGTATGACATATTTTCGAATATTTCGAATAAATAAATCAGATTTTTGTGGATTTTGGAGATATTAGAGATTTTTTGCATTAAATCCAAATAAATACATTTAAATATCATTCATAATCACAAAAATCCACAATATTCCGCCGTATTCACAAATATCCACCATATTTCATACGACAGATTCTTAGAGATAAATTGGATTTTTTCGAAATATTTGAAATAATTTAAGCGTGATATTCCCTTAGTGTGAAATATTTTCCAATACGAAGGGACCATGGAACAAAACCTGATTAGGAATAAAATAAAATCGCATAGTTATGAAATTTGGAGCAAAACAAACATTTTAAATTAATATTACCTAATTAATCTGATAACTAAAATCAATTCTAGATCGGAGCGAAAATGTCAAGGTTCTTCTCCTTCATGGTGGCGATGTAAATGCCAAAGGTTTGGAAGGAAATACAGCACTTCATACAGCTGTCCAAAATGGTAATAGGCTTAATTATCATATGCTGCAGTAAAAACACGAACTGATCAATTGGTTCTGTTCTTATTGAGTACGTCCAGCCATTAATTTTATTCAATTCATAGGTAATATGGACGTTATTAAAGTTCTCATTGAAAACGATGCCGATGTGAGCATCAAAAATGAAAATGGACAAACGCCGCGTGAACTTGCTTTGGAAATAGCTGAAGAATCCAATGCAAAAGGTACCATCAAAGAATTTCAATACGATCTTTTTGAAAAATAGAACAATATCAATACTAACTAACAAAAACCATATCATTTCTTTGGACAGGATATGAATACGCATGTATTGATGCTTTTCTAAAAATTGCTGAGGACAAGGCCAAATTACTCAGGAATAATAAATCAACGGATTTTTTTTTTCATCATTGATGCACATTCATATGACATGAAAGATGCAGATCACCTTCTAAAAAAAAGTCTTTGCTTATTGATGAATGATATTGGAAATATTAGCCCCAAGCAAAATTTAATTCCATTATGTAAGAAATTTTTTTTGTCCAAAGAGGAAAATGATCAATTTTAATTAAAACATTTGTGTGTTCATTAAAGGAAGATTGTTTGTTCCAAAATGCGAGACTTTTGTTCACAGTTCGAAAAAAGTGTCGTCGTTCAGGTCAACTTAGTCATGAAATCCTTGTTTATTTCATCATTGGTGTTCATGAGTTTTGCAACGAAAAAATTGACTCAATGATTGCTATGGACAAAAATCATTTCGTATGAACTAATAGCTACAACCACTATACAACACCTAACACTAGGCAGCTATACATAAGTCTACAAACAAAGCACTAGGCACACACATTTGTGAACAACGTTTTTAACAGCGAAAACTGTGCATTGAGCTCTCATTGAGCATTTCATCACACATGGTGGGAGATAGTTTACGAAAGAGAATAAAGAGGAGAAGAATTAAAAGAATGCGCAAAAAACACGAACGAAGAGCGATACCAAAATACTTATACATGCAACCAATGATTTCAAGATATCATGCATATGTGCGCGAGTACTGATGACATCAGGCTGATATGTAGATTTCGCTGTTTACATATTGTTCACGAGTATTTGTGGTTCGCGCTTTGTTAGTAGACTATCATTCGAGTGTAGTGGCTGCTGTAGTGGTCCCAATGTTCTTAATTCAAACGGAATGATTCATTTCATAGTACATGCATGTCAATACATACGAAAAATATCGTTCAAGCGCCTACTTATCTACTATCTTATATTCACAGTGTGAGTCAGACCTTTATAGTGTTATAAACGAGCTCATACAGAAGACGCCGTTTCTGCGCTCTCAATAACGAGAACCAGTAATCATTATTTTATGACTTCATCGGACGTAAATTGATAACCGCATCGATTTTGACACCAAAAATACGAAATTCTCCTCGCATCGGTTTGCTAAAAGTGAGATAAGATTACTTTTTTTGTTAAACAGCTTTAAATGCAAACAAATTTTGTTTCGGAATCAGTTTGAATTCGATCTTTCTTGTTTTAACCATATTTTTCAAAGAGTTTTACACTAAAAATCGGAACTTCTCGACTTACTTACTCAGTCGTTCAAATAAAAGAAGGTAAAAAAGTGTTATCAATTCAAATAATCCTGAACACTTGGTAGAAATCTGAGTTTGTTCGTCATATTTTTTACGTTCAATAGTTTTAGTAACTTCCCTAAATCCTTCCGTTTTCTATGATTTTTTTTTATTTCGTAAGGTTGTTACTATCGAGTTATAAAGTAATTTCTTTGAATTCATTTTTGATTTGTAAATTTTATTTCTGAACTTGATTACAGTTCCGAACGGAAAAGGAACGTTTCAACTCGCGAAACAGTGCTTCAACTCATATTTCAACTGTGCTTCTGGATATAATTTTTCTGACTCATCCCGCAAAATGGCACAAACAGTTCTGACATTTTCTTCCTTTCTCGTTCATATGTTCCGGGAGAATTATGGAGGCCATGAAATACGCATAATAGACATTGATTTATCAAAGGAGAACACAGATTCGGGTGCCATTGCTCCGATGGTTGTGTACAAAAAAGAAATCGAACTTTTTGACTTCGAATTCAGTTTGGATTTACTACGAAATTTCGGAGGTGAAATCAAGAATTTGACAATTGGAAATCATAATATCGACAACGAACATTCGGCAATCATCAACCAGTTTATCAGCAAATATTGTTCCGATTCATTGATCAAATTGGATTTAGGTGAAATCAAGGAAAAAACTTTTGAACAATTCAACGTGCCGTTCAAGAAGCTGGAAGATTTATCTGTTACCGTCTATAAAATTGATAAAATTAGTAATAAATCTAGGCCATTGAATGAATTGTTTCCAAACTTGCGTCGCATTAAAATGCAATTTTCATCAGAAGTCGATGCCAGTATATTTGAGATTGATTTTACACATCTTGAATATGTCGAAATTAGATCCGGCGCATATATGTGGAGTTCGATCGAAAAGTTCTTAAGGAAAAATCCTCAAGTTAAAAGCATCTACGTGCTATTCACCGAAGATATTCATTCGAATTACCTCAATGTCATCAATGAACTACTACCAAATCTCGATACTCTCGAAATTCACAACGATGTCAAAGCTGATGTTCATTTTCAAAATGTCAAAACACTCCGTTTGGGTTTGGATCTCAATTCAATCGAAAAACTCTCATTTTCACAATTGCAAGCACTTGAAGTATGGTTTTCATTGGAATCGTTTGATACGTTGAAGACGTTTTTCCGGAACAATAGCGAATTGAAATGCTTAAAAATGGATTCTAAATGGAATGATTTGAAAGAAGAAGCGTTTCTTGACCTTACTGCGGAATTGTTTGATCTTGTTGAAATGACACTTGATGCGATCCCCACCGATTGGATCATAGTTGAAACTATCGTTAAATTCATGGACAATCACACAAAATTGACGAAATTTCAATTCCGCTTTTCTATATCAAACAGCGAATTTAAGGTTCAACTCTACCAGAGATTCGAAAGTGAATGGGATATTCAAGAACACAACTCTGGCGCTTATTCAGATGGTTTTTCATTGTCTAAGAAGATTTAGCTCTTTACAACATTGAAATAATTTTGAAAACAAAGAAATTAAGCAATAAATGTCCATGTATTTTACCAAATTATCATGTATAATAAAAATGAATATTTTTTCCAGAATTTTAAACAATTTTATTGAAGTAAAATAACTTTTCTAACAACGCACTGTTTCAATTAACTTAATCGAGGAATTCCATTTATTTCATCATCGACGAATCGTCAACGATGATTCATAGAGAATAAGTCATCTTTTGTGTGAATTTACTTACAGAAAATCCATAAGCAACGTTTCAACTAGACAAAAAACCATGCATTATTTTAGTGGGCAGCTCAAAACTCGAAAATGGGCCGTGTTTTTCTTAAATTTTCTTGAAAATGGGCAGCTCTAAAAATTTCTTAAAATAATGCATGCAAAAAACCGAGGGGCAAATCACTCTAAATTACTTTCTCTATTACAAATTACTTTAGAGTGATTTGCCCCTCGCAAAAAACCAAGCTGACGACACTTCAGTACAAAATATCTTTTGAGTGCTTGCAGCGCCGCGAACTCTCGTATCATTTTGTATTGAAATTTCGTTAGTTCATGAGTTCGCCGTAAATTTCATCAAAACGTGTCGTCACTTTGCAAAAAACTATTATCCCACTTTCTAATTATAGGAAATTTTTTAATTTTTCACATCAAGTGATTATTATGCCATTAATTGAATGAACTAAACAATTTCAGATTAGTAAAGTTCAGTATTTAGATTTAGAGTAGAAATATGATGACTAATTTCTCCATTGAAGTCGATGAACCCTGTGGAACTGATTTAGAAACGGTATTGATAATCTGGATTCTCAAAAAGTTTCTTTGGATTGTTCCTGGTGTGAATGGTGCTCAAATTCTTTTTCCAACCCGATCTTTGTCTTAAACGCATCATGCAATCTCACAACGGAACGGGGTTTTCTCCGGTGTGTGAACGCATATGGATTTTCAACTTAGTTTTACCGATAGTAACAAACTTCTTGCAGAGATGACATTCGTAGCGACGTGCCGTGCATACCTTATCGTGGGCTTTTTTTCCAGTCTTCTTTGCGAAATGACGGAAACATCCTTTGCAATGGAACGGATAGACATCGGTGTGAGTTACAGTATGCTTCTTCAAGCTTCTTGCTTCTGAAAATCTTTTTCCACACTCGTCGCATTGATATGGCTTTTCACCCGTGTGAGTTCGCATATGCAGGTCAAGACTTCCCTTCTTACTTGCAGAATATTCGCAAACATCGTGTGGCGAGCACATCCTAACGATAGAATTTTAATTGTCATTTCTTAAATTCGCCGTGCGGTGGCGAGAAGTGTCAGCCACACACACTCGGATTCACTGACGTGAGTGCAAGTGTGTGCGTGAGCAGCACACTTGTCATCGTTTCACAGCCGCTTGATTGTTTCTCTTAAGTCAACTCATTCTTCTCACTTCGACCGCTCAACCGAACACACGTATTCACGAGAATATCGCTATCCGTATGAATTCAAAACCACCAAAGCCCCATTTCATTTACTTTTTTCATTTGAATACGATTTATAGGTTAAGTAATTTTGTTATCTAGTTTTACCTTTTGAATTTATTAAAAGAGTCCTAACTATTTGGAGAAACAAAAACGTTGGTGTAAATTCATTTTTCATAAACAACGACATATGATTTACCCACAATCGCATCCGAATCGCTTTTTCGGCTTCGATTGGTTTGAAGCAGATTGTGGACCGTTGTTTTCTGTTGCCACATTATTCTGGTTCATTTTGCCGAATTTCGGACGAATTACTTGTAGTACATGGGTATTTGCGTGTTTGAAAGGCATGCTATTGCTGTTTTCCATTAACTGTTTATCAAGTGTTGATGTATCCAAACGATGTACAACGACTGCCACTGGAGTAAGTGCTTTCTGAGCTGCATCGTTTGAATCATTTGATGTAATTGTTTCCAACACAGAACTTGTGTTGTTGATGATCCCCAGATCGATGTTGTGGCCTTCATTACCATTCGATTCGTCGATTGGATGTGTCACTGGTTTGCTCGTTTCGTGCAACTCATTACCTGCTACCAAACTGGAAAATATTTGTTTGTTAATACTATTAATAGTGACATCGAGCAGACAATGTCTCAATTTATGACAGAAAACTGACAAAAAAAATTACCAATCATTCGAATTGTTCGCAGACATGTTCTGAGTCGTCTATTCTATTTCTTCACAGAAAACCACGAATGATGAATTTGTTTATATTAGAAAGATTAAATTGAAAGTCTGAGTTGAAAAACAATACATATGTATTGTCGAACTTTTCTTAAATGTAACATGTCCATGCAAAAACGTATGGCTTTTGTTTTGGTTTTTGATCCCAACCGTTCAATTAATTTCGCTCTTGTTTGAGTTTATTCTGATAAATCAATTGTATACACATTACACAACTGTTGATCATTATTGATGAAACCGCAAAACAAAACAAAATCAAGAACAAACACGACTTAAAGATTCAAATGTCCAATCGGAGCAAATATGGCATACTCGGTCATGTGCAATTGCAAAACTTACTGTCGCTATCGATCATTTCGCAACTCCGGTTCGAAGAGACAAGTAGTAATACACAATGGAAACATCAAATTAAAGTGGGATTCCGCCGAAAAAACTCAAAACGTTACATTCTTTCCAAGTCAAGTTGGTGTTTCTAATGAAAGCCGTAAGTTGAAGATTGCTTAAATTAATATTTATGTCAGTGTTGGAAGGTTTATTCGAGTTTAATTAATTGAAATAAAAACATAGGTGATAGTGAAATGGATGTAGATCCGCCCACTGCGCAAGATATTGAACCATCTACATCGCAAGTAGAACCGACTACTTCACAGTTCCAAAATATTTCCTTGGGAAAAATCGATGAGCCAGATTATGATCTAAAATACGCAAATTACATCCATTCTTTTAGTGTTCAGCAAGCTGATGGTTCACGGCGTTTTGTCTATTGCAAATTGGGCAATAAATACTCCGAAATCTCCCGTAAATTTCAAGTTTTTTTTTCAATGGGCTGCCCTTAATTATTCTTGAATTAATCCATGCATCGCATCGATCTAAACCTTCACCAGTATGTGTCCGCATGTGTCGGTTAAAATTGTCCGCAACTAAAACCTTTTCACAGCGTGGACATTGGATTTTCTTCCTTCCTTTCGATTGCTTCGCGGATGATGCCCTATCATTTTGAATCATTTTGAGGGTGATTTGTTGCTTGTCAATCGAATCAATGATTGATTGGACCCTTGGCTTTTGATGACGGATGTTTGAACCTAATTCAGGCTTGACAACACCTTGAACCGTTGTCGGATTATGATAGGCGTCGCTTTTTGCTACTGTTCGATAAGCTTCGTCCTCAAACATTGAATACAATACGAATTGATCGTTAGCCTCTTCGATTCTGCAATAGAAGAATAAACTTCAAATTGAATAAAAGAAATCATCGTCAACGAAAAGGTCTTACCGATTGATTGACGCTTCCAGAAAATATAGCCTGAATTTTGCGTTGAACGACAACCCATAGCGCTTGAGCGCTGTTTTCATGTTTTCAAGAGAAAATTGTGCTTCGTGATTGTATATCGCCAGCACTCTGTCCATGTAAAATGTTCATTTCCAATCGAATCGTTCTGTGCCAAATGTATCTAGTCTATACAAAAGTACTACCTCAAAGGATATGATCACCGATAAAAGATAATCTAATTGGAAAAGATACTGAAACTATTTGATGAAATGCCACTATTGAGAGACAGAAAAAGGATGAACAAATGAGACTTTTTTCAAACTAAGTGTATTGCTGAAGCTTCGATCTGTTCTGCTTCAATGATAAAATAGCAATGAGTGTTCAATGTCAGTCGCTCGTTTCGATAGCACGTTCGAAATGTCAAATTGAAACTTAGTGTTGACGTTGTTACTTTCGAATCCTGCTAAAACACCACTCTCACTTTGAGAGTCTAAATTCATTTTCGAACTTGAACTTTTCAAGTCTAAAAGTAGATTTTCGGTACTAAAAGAAGAAGACTTGAGTTGCATTCAATAAAAATAATTATTTTTATAACACTATGTAATAACAATTTAACATAATCAAAAAATCTGAATCAAAACTAGTCTTTATTCCACTTATGTTTGGTAACAAAGGTGCTTGAGAATCGAGAAAATCTAAAACGTTATAAATCCATTCAAAAAATATTGTTCCAATTAAAAATCACGTAAACTATGTAAACTGCATGTGGGAATGTTCGTTCGACATCATTTAAAAAATGATTTTGTTCGTTGTTCGGTCCAAACAAAGTTTTTTTTTATACAAAATTTAACAACAACCAACAATTTCAAACGAACGAACAAAACATTTTTTCTTGAATCATGTCGAACGGTTGAATAGTTGAACTAGCGTGTTCGAAAGTGTGCGACGGCAAACACTAACTGCATGGTAACAAAAATGTTCCATCGAATCAAAAGCAAACTCTAGATATATTCCAATCGAGCCATATCTATGATAACATCACGCAACCTTTTGTTTAGTTTATTGCGTGATTCCTCTGAAATGAAATTGTCGGAATTAGTTCCATCTCCAGACGCCTTGTCACCCATTCCGTCCAAATCAAGACCGCTTCCAATTTCCGACGTTATCATCGGAAGTAAAACCGTTGACAAGACTAAGCCGAATTTGGCAAATTTGCGAAAATGTTCCATCATCAATTTATAAGGGAAAATGGTCTCTGGATCTGAACCCAATCTGGAAACAATAATTTGAATTAAACTTTAGGTTGTTATTTTTCAAAAACACTTGAAGAATTTGAGCTTGAGAACATCATTTGGTTTGTAGGTCTAAGTTCTAACATATATGAGATAGAGAGAGATTAAGAATCTCAAACCTTTTCATATGAGCCGCCAAGCTATCGTGATAAATGTGCAAGAGTTCATCATAGTAAGCATCTCTCAGTTCTTTTGTTGTGCAGCAAAATACATAATAAACGATATCGATGATGGGTGACGAAGCACGAACTGTTTGCCAGTCCAAAAAGCAAACCTCCACTGGTTTTCCATTATCGTCATAGCGAAACATGGAATTATTTTGCCAAGCGTCACCATATGCTATCACATATGCTGGACCAGTCAGTTTCAAGTCGATGCAGTCAGCAGCAATATCGATGGCTTCTTTTTCAAAAAGTCGCTTCACTTTGGCCAGCAAGTGAACGTCTTCTTCAGCAGACAATACATCAAATACCAATTGTGATTGTTTTGTAAAACATTCGCGAAGATGAGGATCGTCAGCACGAATGAAAACTTCACTCAAATTTGAGACGATTTCGTTGAACTTATCTGGCTGCTGGTCTTTTAACGCAAATGAAGTGGCATGAAGTTTTCCCAAGCTTTGCATCACCAATCGAAGATGATCCACTGTCACCTCCTCTGTACGCCGATCGATAGTGACAAAGCCACGTTCACAAAGATCTTCAAATATCAAACCTTCATTGATGTCTACATCAACAGTTAGGTAGCATTTTGGATATTCGGTGAAACCGTGGGTTTGAATACCTTTGGACTGTTCGAACTGCCGCAATATCGGTAACATCTGGAAATATGAATCTTTTTTTTAGTTTGAACTTTGAAGTTACTCCAGAGAATACACTGTATTAAAGAAATAGCTAGAGAAAGAAGGAAAAACTGATGGTACTGACATCCATGCGTTTAACCAGATAAAAAGAGAGATTTCGGTGTTTTTTTATTTCACTTTGTGTGAATTTTCGTGAGTTTTAGTATTACTAACAAAGTAACGAAGATTCGCACAAAGCGTAACAAACAGCACCGAAGTTTCGCATATGGTCTCATTCTATTTGGTTATAGCATGAACATCAGTATCGTCTCTTGTCTGTCTTTTTCTCTTTCACTTGCTGCTTCTTTAATACCATGTATGCAGATGCATTTGCATGATTATTTAACCTAAATTTCGACTATTTTCTACCTTTTCATAAGAGTAAATTTCTCGAACAAAAGCCGGACGCACAACGAACTGCGATCGACGTAACAAATTTTGTGGAGCAACTTTAATAATGAAATTTGTTGGGCTCTTTTCATTTTGTTTACTGCACGACACCCGATATATGATGCCGATGAAATTATCTTCGCCGGCCTTCGATGCGGAAGTCACTTTAATGCTGAAATCATCCGAGTTTAACTCATTTTTTAACGTTTCAATGGCCGCAGTACGAACATATTCACTCGGAATTTCGGTTAAAGCTGAGTCGGTCATGATTTGTTCTTGTGAATAAAAATGCGTTCAAAAGGTGGCTTGAAAAGTTCCTGAAATTGAACAAAAGTTTATAAAAAATGACGAAAATCCAAACAAACATATTTCAAAAAAATTAAGTTTCTATTAGTTCTAACACTTCATTGTTGACCTAATGCGCGAACAATATGAGTACGCTACCAGCTGAGCGTACACACGTGTATTGAAGCGCCTGTGCTGTTGTCGCCCACATATGCAATGGGCATTCATTATTATATTGACGATATTAATGAACATTTTTTACATCGCCTCAATACACGCGTACTGTCAACAAAAGCAGTTATGTATACATGTGTTGGCAATAGCGGCAACGCATGCATCAAAAGCAATACACACAGCCCTTAGCGTGACGCACTCCTATTATTCGTACACGCGGCTGCCGCAAGCAAATAGCTTTTGACTTTCTTAATGTTTGTTTGGCATTTCATTTTAGAAATGTAATGTGCACTATGTAAAGTAAATCATTTAATTTTTAACTCGGGGTTTGTCTATTTTTATGCACAAATTGATTTTATATATCGATCAATTCAATTCGTTACACCGCCAAAGATTGAGTGATTCACTTTACAAACAACGGTTTTCAAGCAATGTCGGACGTAGCAATGTGTTGTAAATACAACGTAAACTCACTCAAAGTGTCATTCGAATATTCGTATGAATTGACGTTCAAATGCGTTTTTAAATGATAAAATAAATTCATTCAACAATTGAAATGTGTTTAATTACCGGGAAATGACTATATTTAACAAGTAAAAATAAGCAACAAAACCAAATGCTGAGTCACTATGTATTTCCAAATGAAATTGCGCGTACACAACTAACACCAACAAATTTAGAATGATACACAATCGGTTAGATCTGACGTGCGAACTGTTTGAGAGTTACGGCAATACTGCTGTGTGGCGTTTAAATAGAGCTACGTTTTGACTAATGCCGTACACACTCCAAAGATTATGACCAATACTCTGCCAAAGTGGGTTAATGACCTGTAAATAAACAGCGCCGCAAAGTGATGAATGTGTGTTAAAGCTCTAGAGCCAGGCAGAACAAATTTGATAAAAACCTGAAGAATACTTGTGAAATATAAAAATGAATGAAAAAAATTTGTTAGACCACTACAAATCTATTTACTGATTGTATAACTAAAGCGTGTGCCGTGTGATTTGTTGTCATAAGAAATTGTTTCGACGTATTATTCTTGGTGATCACATGCAAAGCAAATTCAGCGGAACTCAATCAGTTCTGCTGGTTATTTACAATAGAACATTTTTGGCCTTGACAGAGTTCATTCGATTTGACGTACGTATCCAGAATTGTTGTTTGAAATGTATGCTGGTTTTTATCGGCATTTTTTTTACCTCGCCACTCATTATTTAGACGTCACACCGGGGATCTTTTCACGTGCCATACACTGAATAATATTTTGACAATATTGTGGGAATTTTGATGAGTTTTTATGTTAATAGTAGCTGGTTGTTTACAAAATAAAAAGAATTACATTGGTAATCCCGAACTTTTCCGTACCGTTGGCCTGCGTTGTCCGTAGGTACTTTTGGTTATTTTTTGTGAATTTTCTTGGAATGAAGCAGTGTTGTTAGATAGGCTGGACAATTGTCCACTTTTGCATAAGCTGGCGTAAGCCAACACAAATTATCCAGCTGTCAAATGACGTCAAACGTATTTCAACGCATTCATTGCTTATGGTTGGCTTACGCTTACATTCTGCATAAGCCAGTGAATGGACTACGGTGGCATATGCCATTCCATCACTGAAATAAAGGCAGTGAAAATATAATGCTAAAAATAAAGTGAAAAATCGGTCACTTTAACTGAAACTTCGACAATTTTGTATGAGAGGTACCCGTAAACCGATTCTCATTGACTTTAAACTTTCTGAGGTTTCATTTTTTGGATAAAAAAAAAGATTCTGAAAGTTTCATGTGGATCGCATTTGCAGAAGTTTGGTTTTTGGCCCTCAATTTTTTCCAAGAAGATTTCGACAAAAATTGAGGACAAAAAATCAAACTTCTGCAAATTCGATCAACATGAAACTTTCAGAATCTTATTTTTCTCTCAAAAAATGAAATCCCAGAAAGTTTGAAGCCAATCGTAGTTGATTTACGGGTACCTCCCATACAAAAGTGTCAATTTTTTTAGGTTTTTCTTAGGGCAAGTACCCCGGGATCAAATCAAAAATGGCTCATCTTCAAACTCAAACTAAGTTTTTCGGATACAAAACTTTTGGGACTTTCAGATTTTGATTATATCAATTATTTTTTGAGTTATCATGTTAACAAACAGCTACGACAACGACAAAGACGGCACACGAACGGAAAAGTGTCTCGAAAAGTGGTTTTCTACGCGTTTCATGAGTTTTTATGATGATCTAAGCTAATTTTGCGAAAAAAGTTTTCGGGACCAATTCCTATACTTTCCCTTGACACTTTGTGTACGGAAAAGTAATAATACTCTATGAAAGAAAGGAATTGCTTGGTTGAGGTTCTCAATCTGAAAATAACAATCGAATAGCAAAAGAGAAGCGATTTGATGACCTTGAAAACAATGCAGGAAATACTTTTGATTCAGAAGTTATGATGAGGTGTCGATCTAAAGTGGCTGAGAATGGAAAACCTAATTCTATTTTAATTGAATACAAAAAGGCAGTTTATGTTCGTTTTCAAAGTTGTTTTATTTTGAATGGAATTAAAGCGATTTCAACATTTTGTGCGAATCAATTACATTTTACATTGATTTACTGCGTGAATGCATTTAAAAAAAAATCGTCATTAAATATATTCTAACCGCACCATGTCAGCAGCAATATCTCTAAAGCGCTTGTTCAACATGTTGATTGAATTTTCCGAAACCAATACGCTTGTATCTTCTAATGTCCCATTTTCGGCATTTTCCCCAATCTCTTCGAAATTCGGTTTGTATTCCCCGTCAAATGTTATCACTGGAAGCAATACCGTTGACATAATGAATCCAAACTTGGCAAACTTCCGTAAATGGTCAAGCATCAATTTTCGCGGAAAGAGTTTCTTCGGGTCGGAACCCAATCTATAATTATTTTCATAAGTTAAATTTAAATCAACTAAGTGTTTTGTTCTGTTTCAGAGACGAACATTACCCTTAATGCATTAGGTGATAGACTTAATGATATCAACTTACCTCCGAATGTGTTCAGTCAATGTTTCATGATAAACTTGCAAAAATTCACCATAATAAACATCTCGGACTTCCTTTGTTGTGGAGCAAAAAATGAAAAAAGCAATATCAAGAACTGGCGATGCATGGCGAACAGCTTGCCAATCCAAGAAACTGGCCTCGTTCGGCTTCCCGTTGGCATCATTTTTGAATAAGATATTATTCTGATGAACATCTCCATATGTGATGACCGATGCCGATCCTGTTGATTCTAAGTCAATGCAATCGGCAGCAATGTCAAGAGCTTCTTTTTCGTAAAACTTCTTCACTTTGGCCAACAGTTCTTCTTCATCCGATAATGCTTTGAACACCCCTTTGGCTTGTTCCGATAAACAGTATCGCAGCGGAGTGTTCGTTTTGCAAATAAAAACCTCGCTTAAATTTGACGTTAGGTCATTGAATTTTTCTGGGTGTTGGTCTTTTAACGCGAACGAAATTGCATGAAATTTGGCAAAACCTTGCATCACCAAGCGAACATGTTCGGCGGTCATCACGTCATTGCGTCGATCAATGGTGGAAAAACCGCGAATGCACAAGTCCTCGAGTAGTAAACCCTCATTGATGTCGACATTAATGGTTCGATAGCAGTTTGGATGCTCCGTAAATCCATTCTTTTTTATATCAACCCCCTTGGACCGTTCAAACTCATGAAACAATGGCAAGATCTGTAGGAAATATAATGTTCAATTGAAAGCTTTAAGTATGAAGCAAAAACACAAAGGAAAAACACAAAAAAGAACTTCATTACTTTGTCATATGTGTAAATTTCTCGCAAAAAAGCTGGCCGAACATTGAACTGGTTGCGACGAGCTAGATTTTGTGGAGCAATCTTAAGAATTATGCTTGATGCCGTGGATTTTCCCGTTTCAGCTTCGTCCTCTTTGTTAAACAACACCCGATAAACGATTCCAGTGAAATTAAGATCGTCCGCTTTTGTGGCAGCACCCACTGTGACTTGGTACTTTTTCGATTTCAGTTGCTCTTCGATTATTTCGAACAATGCTGAACGAACTAATTCACTTGAGATTTCAACGGCCAACTCTGACTTCATTTTTTATTCAATTTTATTAATTTTGTTTGAAAAAACTAAAACGCTTGAGGAAAAATGTACGAAAATCGAATTTAAAAAAAATGTAACCGTCTTCTGATAAAATTTATCGTTCAGGTTTCACTTTGCATGCGAACACTTCACAGTCTGTTGTAACACTGAGCTGAGTTCTGCTTAAATAGAATCCGTTTTATGGATCATACTTTGAAGTCATTATTAGAAATTGACAATAGTTATCTGGGCAGGGGTAATGGCATTTGTAAAAATTTGTACGATAAAGTTGTTGATTCTAACAACAATGGCTTATTTTCGATTAGGAAAAAAACACTCGATCATCAGATGATGTACAATTTGCACTTGAATGGTAGTTCAAGGTCCCTATCGGTTGACGATTGAGCTGCACAATACAACACATTCAAACGACACATTCAAACGCAATTGAACTAAATTAATTGTGTTATAAAATTTATTGCACTATTCATTGAGTGCAACAGTTCTATGTGGATATATTGTCATCTAATATGTGTGCTACATATATGTGGTATAGTATACCACAGCTTGAAATCACAGAAATTATTAATGTCAAATTAGACACGTGCATAATTTGCTTATAAAATGAAAGAACTGTGTCCCGTTTTGGGCCATATGGCGTCTAGCAATGAGACCGGTACCAATGGATAGGGGGCAGCGAGTATAACAATAATATATGGTTTCACGGTCCTAAGTTGTGGGCGAGGGGTTTTATTGGGATACAAAGTTAGTACTGGATTTGGGGTAGTTTTCGCTAAACATGGATTTTTCATGAATAAAGAGTCATTTTAGAAGGAAACTATGTAAGGACGAAGTATTTATGCTGATGTCAAGAATCGATTGTCACTTTGGTTGGGGCTGCCCTTCAAGTCTGGGGTGCGTGGGAGGTAAAAATTGAAAAAAAATAAAAAATACCCTAATTTGGGGTTGAAATTCAACTTACCGCCCAAAACTAATCACATATTTGGATTGCTCGCGAAAAGTTGACTATATGTCTCATACAACAAAAACCTGATCCGATCACTCCAAAGACTGTAAATTGCCCTTCAAAGATTGGCCCTATATCATTCATGCTCCAGTATTTGGCCTTGTCATATATTATTGTTATACTCGCTGCCCCCTATCCATTGGCACCGGTCTCATTGCTAGACACCAATGGCCCAAACCCCATACAAAACGGGACACGGTTCTTTTTATTCTTGTTCCAATCTATCTCATAAATATGTATCTGAGCCAGGGCTAGAATTCTAAGTCATTCCACCAAAATCGTTCGGAATTATTTTTTTCGTACATAAGACCATATTGGAGTGAAAGAGAGAGATTCCACTATTTTTCAGCGTGCCACCGGAATTATTTCTCACACAATCCACTCTTCTTTGAGTTATCGGAATAATTCCGGTGGTACGCTGAAAAATAGTGGAATCTCTCTCTTTCACTCCAATATGGTCTTATGTACGAAAAAAATAATTCCGAACGATTTTGGTGGAATGACTTAGAATTCTAGCCCCGGAAGCAAAGCGCATGCATTTTACGTGAGGGCGAAATCACTCTTCAAATTAATTTTTCTATTACTTTTTGGCACGCTATTACTTTAGTAAATTACGAAAGTAATTAGACGTTTATGTCAAAGTTTGACAGTGTCAAACCAACAAACAAACGTTCTAAACAAACCACTACACTCATATCGAAAAATAGAATCTGAAATGGAAAATAATTCCTGGTTCGTTCTTGAAAACGACATTGGTTTTGAAATACCAAAAGATATAAAATTGAGCTTGAAGTAAGTTTTAGCTGAGTATTTCTAATAAGGTATAAAATAAATTCTATACAAATTTCATTTTAGTCATATCGCATTTGGGAAAAAAACGCAATCGAGCCCACACCAAACTATCTTTTTTCATCTTCGTTTTTATTTTATAAACGATTATTTTTTTTTTTTTTACGATAATGTATCCAAGAATACTTCAGGTATGTGGTTTATGCCGATTGATGACATCTACTTCAATTACGTTTTTTCGGGAAAAATTACTTTTCTATTGTCATAATTACTTGTGACATTAAAATTACTTTCAAGTGATTTTCCCCTCGATTTTACGTTATTATCGTTTTGTTCATTTTATCATTAACTGCCTGCCCATTGCTAGTCTCAACCATTTTACAACACATTTTATTAAGTGCAGTGCACGTACAAATGTCATTGCCCCAGAGCATTCTAAATTAGTGACGCTACGAATGTGATACACAGACATGACCTTGAACAAGTGAATAAAAGCGATTGTAGAGCATTTTAACTAAATTTAATCGAAGTAGGTGAACGAACTAACAACCAAGTAACCGACATACATAACAACTGCTGAGTTCACACATGCAATCGTTTCAAAGCAAAGTGATTCACTGTAAATCGCCGTAATCATATTACGTACAAATTGATATTGTTATCACATAAAGCTACACATGTGGAGAGAGAATAATACACACTTGAGACGCTCGTCGTAGTTACATGACTGATACTCGTGTGTGCCTTACGTTATTCCTAATACTTCATTCTTTTCAATAGATTCATTTGTATATTCACGTGATTCTGTGTACCTGTTATTTTGTGCGGAATTTCTTATTGTATTTTTCGTGCGATCGAAGAACATGCACTCCATTCACTTCTTCAGTTGTAAAAGTAGAAGTGTTGACACATTATCAATTTATACTATACTATACTACACAGTACACTACACAGTTTGGCTAGTAACTGAAAATGAAAATACATTTATATCGGTTTCAGGCACTTGTAGAAACTCAACTTACCAGTAAAGGTAACTTGTATTTTAAAAAACAGTTTGGCTTTCTATCTAAGCTAAATAAATGGTTATTGATGGTAACTATTCCCAAAATTCATTAAACAACAAAATAAAGATGAAATAAATACGGATATAATAAAATTTCTCAGTAGAAATTCCGCCTAAATTTGGGCGATTAATTTTTTTACTGTGTTGACATAGCTGTCAAAATAATAGCAAATCTATGAGTAAATTTTAAACTTTGCATTCAAGTATTCGGGTCTCCATTCATTCGATACGACTCAATTTCACAATTTTCAAAAATGAGTTGAAATCAGACTTCAGAAGCGAAAAACTGTTCTTGTGAAGGATTCACACTTGCTTGACACATTTTATTTGAATTCCATTAGCACGTCACTCAGAGTCAATGTTGTAAACACGACTTAACAAGTAACCATTGAAGTGTAATTTATTTCGAAGGTTGCAAAAAATTTCTTCTAATTTAACGGTCTAACAATTTCAACTTCGTGATTCCGAAATAAATTGGCTTTTGGTTTACAATTCATTGAAAAAGTTAAATTTTCTCTCAAATAAATTCAATTCTGAACACATTCGTCGGGGGAGACAAGTAAATTGACTGAGAAACATCGGTATTTTTGATTATAACACGAGTTTTTTGAGAGGGTGTGTATTTTATTTATAAAGTGATAACATACAATGTTCTGTGATTTTGTTGCATAGTTAAATGACCGCGATATCGGGTACGAAATGTGTAGTTTTATTTTGGGAAATTTCGGTGGAATGGAATAAATTAGGACTAATAATGAGGGTTCGCATCAAAAGTCGCCTGAAATTTAACAATTTTTTTGGATTTTGTGAATTTGAAAAATCCATTTTTTCTTCGAAAAAGTAAAAAATTTAAAAAAATTGATAAAAACACTGCGGCTTTTGATGCGAATCCACGTTATTCGTCCCAATTCATTCCATATCACCGATATATATTTCTCCTCAAAAACTGCTAAAAAACAATAATATGAACACTTATAATGATCGATGATTCATGAACCAAAGGTTCTGTCGACTATTGTTGAATTTAATTAAAAACGATAGCTATGCCGCAGGCTAGTTTTAGTCGATAATTATCGACTAAAACTAGCCTGCGGCATAGCCATCGTTTTTAACTTATAATGATCATACATGCAATGAGGCTTCGAATAACTTGACTTGAACTATGACCTCAAAATCAATATTCATTTGGAAACTGGGTCATTTCACAAGAAACCGATTTTCTCGCACATTTTTGTAATTTAATTCAGATTCTTTTTCAGAACATTAACAAACTCATGTTTATTTTATTCTAGAGAGTGTTATTTCGCTGCTGAGCATCCCTGAGCTGAGCTAGATTTGCTGACTCAGGCGCCTGAAGCTTTATTATAACGCCTTCACGGAGCAAAATTTTCATTGCTACCGAAGGTCCACAATGTTTCTCAATTTTACTAGGGCGGATATTTGCAAACAACGAAAAATCTACACCGTGAATGCGTTAAAATTGAACAAATTTAGCTCAACTCAGGCCTGCTTAGCAGTGGAATAACACTTTCTGTTTGATTCTATTCTCATCTTCAAGGTCACTTAAACAAAATGAGCGATCAGCGGAAGATTAATTACACACGAAAACACCATCGCGATGTGGACAACGGAAAAGGATTGAAGCAACATATAACCCAGATAGAGACTGACATCGAATCAATCACGATCCAAACGAAGCTCACAGACGTCAACGTCGAAACACAATTCCCACAATTGATACGATTTTATGTTCATCGTGATTTTGGTACAGAATATTTTGCAACTGAAAAATTGATGTCGGCATTTCGATTGAACCCACAGCTGCAGAGCATAAACCTCGATGGATCTTACTTCTCAAAATATTTTAAAGTATCAGCCGATTTCTGCCAGTGCTCGAAGAGTTCAAAATTATCAATTACACTGGAAATTCGTTTAGTTCCGATTTCAATACAGTCAAAAAGCTGGATATCGATTTCCACCCTGATGAATTTCAATTACCACGCATCAACCTCACGTTTGATCAATTGCAAGAGGTTGAAGTGCATTTGAGGAGTTACGTACTAATTCACGAGGCGATCGATTTCTTCAAGAAACACCAATCAATCATCAAATTGAAATTGAAATCACGCGCGAATAGAAGCAAGCGTATCATGATGCAAATCACCGCTGGTTTGCCTTTGTTGAATGACATCGATTTCGTTGGGAATGCTCTCTCAGCCGACGAAACCATTCATTTCTTAAATGAATTCACGTTTGTGAACCGTTTTTGCTTTTACATTTCAAATTCCGATGAATTCGACCGTTTAAAAGCACTGTTGGGCGAATAGTGACAAGCAACGAAGCAAAGTCGACGCGTCGAATTGAAACGTAGATAGTGAACACATCATCAACCAAATAAACTGAAGTCAATATGTCAGATCGTAACAGTCGAAGCGAACATCGATGAATAGCGTGAAGTTACAAGAGCATCAATATTTACAATTAAAGTTTATCAATTCATTATATTCATAAGCAAAAAAGTATTCCTATTCAATCTTCAATAAAGTGTAACAAAAGTTACTCAAACAACCGAATGATTGGAATTTCAGCTTAAATTCTCTTGCCAGTTTTCTATTTCACAGAGATGTACACAGGGATTTAAAATTAAAATTAATAAAACAGAAACACAAAACCATAATTCCATCTTTGCTTAGTAATATTAAAAGAAAATAATGAAAGAAATGTAAAGGAACCAAAACAACGAAAAATGAAATGAGTTTTAAAAAAATTGCATGTCGAATATGTTCCAACTGTTTCGCATATTAATAAATTTTTTCACAATAAAAAGAAATTAAAGCTTTGTACAATTCAATTCTGAAACCACGATCCGATAGCATGAGACTTTTTACGTCTCAGAAATGTGTACGTGCTTTACATGTTTATTCATGTTTAAATGATTGAAACTTGCAATTTTGACTACTTTCAGGCGTTGTTGTTGTGTTCTTCAATGCAATTAAGATAGAAACTTTGTGATTACATGTTAGTTCATGAATATTCTCACTAGTTTCGCTCTTGTCACATTCTGTACATTCAGTGTCCATATGTATCAATGTATTTTTGGTTTTTGCTGTCGGATCGTGTCTGAAACACTGTTTCCAGATTCAGAATCATTTTTCAGACTATTTTCAATCGCTTTTTCCGTTTCTTGGACTGAACCTGTCTCTTCAACCGAACAACCAACTTCGTTCAATGGTATTACGTCATTTGACTTGATAATTGTACGATCGGTGATTTTCTTCGAGTCATCGGAAAAATGTAGTTCGATGTCTTCAAGTGTGTGATTCTCTGTTTCAGGTAGAATTAGGAACATCAAAATGAATCCACAGCCACAAATGACACAGTAAAACAGTGAGGCACCAGGCAAAGAGAGTGTCATTTCCAAATTATAATACGTTTTTCGTGTGATAAAACCCAACATGTAGTTGAGTGCAGCCGCAACACCACTTGCAATACCACGAGATCTAAAGAAGTCGGAAAGTAAAGATAAATTCGTGATAAAATTCAAAAAGAGATCAAAGCAAATGAAATTCAAAAAAGATGGCATACTTGAATGGAAAAATCTCGGAAAGAAGCATCCACGGCATTGCGAGGAAACCGCAATATGAAAAAAAGCTCCACAGAAACAAACAAACCAATGGAATATAAGGCAACATGGTGTTTTCCACGTGAAATGACTGGTGTGTGCGTTCGAAGGAAATGTATCCCATTGGCAGCAGTATGAATCCATATAAAGACAAAACTGCTGTGGAAATAAATATTCCAAATGACATGACTAAGTAGAAAGGTCGTTTTCCGATTAAGTGAACCAAACACGTAAATGTGAGCGTTGCGAAGATTTCCAAAAAACTCATGATGGCCGTTGTTCGATCTGGTGGAAATGGGTTTTCGTATGCCTTGAAGATCTGAACCAAAAATGGTCTCATTGAGTTCATCCCAGAAAATTGAGCGATGAAGAACATCGACATTATGATGAAAAATGGCTTCAGAGTTCGTTTTCGCTTCAGTTCGCCGAATTTTTCAGCCAATGTGGGCAGAGCATGGGTACATTTTAAATCTTTTTCAATACACGTGCTACATGATTTGGACCGATCGATGTGTTGCTGTAAGTAATGGAACTCTTGAGCCACAACTTGATTTGAAACCCAACCCCGAAGCCAGCGAAGCGATTTTTCAGCCTCAGCCGTTTGATTTTTCGAGAGAAGCCATTGCGGTGTCTCGGGAATAAAACAAACGGCAACCGCAGTAATCATTGGAACTGATAAGCAAAATAATGCCACGGAACGCCATGGCATCAATGTATTTAAAAAATATATGGTGAACGTTCCCATTGTTCCGCTAATATTTGTGAAAGTAAGCAGTACATCGCGGGTTGATGGCTCACTGGAATTGAGAATGGAAATTTGTAAGGTTTTCTTGTGATTCTAGATTGAAAAACGGGGGATTTAACCATATTTCGCCGAGATAAGTAATGATAGGAGCTTCCATCAAACCGATTCCCAGTCCAAGAAAAGCGCAACCAGTGAGAATTTTCCAATAGAAATCCCCTTGATAAATCATCAACCAACCAAGCGCCAGTGGTATATTGACGAAAATCATCGAACGCTTACGGCCTAATGGATCTGTATTGGAAATATGATGAGTATTGATTTTGATATATCTCAACAAATGGTGTTATTACCCGTCATAAATACCGACAGCATACTTCCCAAGGGTTGAAATAAATATCCAATGCTTCCTACGAGGAATAAGGATTGACAAATTCTCCTCGGTCAGACACTTTTTAATAAATTTTAATGGAATTTTACACATGAGGCTGTGAGAATGAAAATGGCAATACAGGAATAAACATTCTGAAACGAAACATAAAACAGCAAACACGGAAAAGTGAATC